CAGATGCACCCACTGGCGGGCCCCCGCTCGCGCCACCCCCCTCCTGCGATGCGGCGGTGGGATCGGCGCAGCTGGGCGCGCGGCGGGCGGCGGGGGCCGCCGTGTGGCCGCTCCTCTCTGTTTGGTGGCTCCAAGGTGAGGTCCTGATGCGGGCAATATTTATATCCATATCCAGTGCGTCTTGGACTTTCTTGCAAGGGGCGCCGCAAGGCCGAGGCGCACTGGATATGGATAAACATCTAGCCTTTCTGGAGGCAAATTATAATATATATATATATATATATATATATATATATATATATATATCCAGTGCGCCTCATGTTTCTTGGGAAGAGAGTCCGAAACTCCAAGACGCACCGGATGTGGATATAGACATTGCCCGCACCTGAGGCATGGGGGCCTGAGGATGGGAAGGAGCCAGGGCCGGATCTCCACTGTTCGAGGCGCCTCGCCCTCGGAGCCCCATGCCTAGGGACCCTAAGCCTGGAACCACTGGCTGTTGGCCGCCTGCTCGGCACGGGAGCGCCCCGGCGCCCAGGTTCCTGGGCTGCTGGGGTCGAAGAAGGACACGCGGCCGGAGCATACCCAGCGGTCGTTGAGAGCAGGTGTTCTTCGATCCCCTGATTCCAGTCTAATTTATCGGGGGTGGACAGACCTCCTACCCTGACACGTCGATCAAAGAATTGGCCGTTGTCGGTTCGCGAGAGGGCGTCGCGGCCGTCATTTTTGCGGGTCCAGGTCCGTCGGTTTCGGTCCCAGGCCTTTTTACCTAACATCGAAGACTGATAGGTTTCTAATAGGCTAAAAAGAGAGCAGCGCATTACTCCACAGGGGGGTCTGGGCAGCCGTTGGGGAGCCGTTGGGGGCTGTTGGGGGGCCGTTGGGGTTTGCCGGGGGGGATCGTTTTTCGCATACAGTCACACACTTCGTGCTTTTCGATTTCCCAGAACTCCATTCCCGGGCCACATTCTGAATGCCCGGAGCCTGCTGTACGCCACTTCGTGCTCTTCGACTTCCCAGAACTCCATTCCCGGGCCACATTTTGGATGCCCGGAGCCAACTGTAGGCCACTTCGTGCTCTTCGAGTTCCCAGAACTCCATTCCCGGGCCACATTTTGAATGCCCGGAGCCAACTGTAGGCCACTTCGTGTCTTCGAGTTCCCAGAACTCCATTCCTGGGCATGATTTTGAATGCCCGGAGCCAACTGTAGGCCACTTCGTGTTTTCGAGTTCCCAGAACTCCATTCCCGGGCCACCTGAGGCAAGGCTGAGGCTCTGGCTTCCCTGAGGCCAGGCTGAGGCTCTGAGGCTGAGGCAGGCTGAGGCTGCAGGCTGAGGCTGAGGCAGGCTGATGCTGAGGCAGGCTGAGGCTGAGGCTGAGGCTGATGCAGGCTGAGGCTGAGGCAGGCTGAGGCTGAGGCCGAGGCTGAAGGCAGACTGAGGCTGAGGCTGCAGGCTGAGGCTGAGGCTGAGGCAGGCTGAGGCTGAGGCTGATGAGGCTGAGGCAGGCTGAGGCTGAGGCTGAGGCTGAGGCTGAGGCTGAGGCTGAGGCTGAGGCTGAGGCAGGCTGATGCTGAGGCAGGCTGAGGCTGAGGCTGAGGCTGATGCAGGCTGAGGCTGAGGCAGGCTGAGGCTGAGGCCGAGGCTGAAGGCAGACTGAGGCTGAGGCTGAGGCTGAGGCTGAGGCTGAGGCTGAGGCTGAGGCTGAGGCTGAGGCTGAGGCTGAGGCTGAGGCTGAGGCAGGCTGATGAGGCAGGCTGAGGCTGAGGCTGAGGCTGAGGCTGGCTGATGCAGGCTGAGGCTGAGGCAGGCTGAGGCTGAGGCCGAGGCTGAAGGCAGCTGAGGCTGAGGCTGAAGGCTGAGGCTGAGGCTGAGGCTGAGGCTGAGGCAGGCTGAGGCTGAGGCTGAAGCAGCTGAGGCTGAGGCTGCAGGCTGAGGCTGCTGAGGCTGAGGCTGAGGCTGAGGCTGAGGCTGATGCAGGCTGAGGCTGAGGCAGGCTGAGGCTGAGGCCGAGGCTGAAGGCAGACTGAGGCTGAGGCTGAAGCAGGCTGAGGCTGAGGCTGAGGCAGGCTGAGGCTGAGGCTGAGGCAGGCTGATGCTGAGGCAGGCTGAGGCTGAGGCTGAGGCTGATGCAGGCTGAGGCTGAGGCAGGCTGAGGCTGAGGCCGAGGCTGAAGGCAGACTGAGGCTGAGGCTGAAGCAGGCTGAGGCTGAGGCTGAGGCAGGCTGAGGCTGAGGCTGAGGCTGAGGCTGAGGCTGAGGCTGAGGCTGAGGCTGAGGCTGAGGCTGCAGGCTGAGGCTGAGGCTGCTGAGGCTGAGGCTGAGGCTGAGGCTGAGGCTGAGGCTGAGGCTGAGGCTGAGGCTGAAGGCAGAGGCTGAGGCTGAGGCTGAAGCAGGCTGAGGCTGAGGCTGAGGCAGGCTGAGGCTGAGGCTGAGGCAGGCTGATGCTGAGGCAGGCTGAGGCTGAGGCTGAGGCTGATGCAGGCTGAGGCTGAGGCAGGCTGAGGCTGAGGCCGAGGCCGACGCAGACTGAGGCTGAGGCTGAAGGCTGAGGCTGCAGGCTGAGGCTGAGGCAGAGGCAGGCTGAGGCTGAGGCTGAGGCAGGCTGATGCTGAGGCAGGCTGAGGCTGAGGCTGAGGCTGATGCAGGCTGAGGCTGAGGCAGGCTGAGGCTGAGGCCGAGGCTGAAGGCAGACTGAGGCTGAGGCTGAAGCAGGCTGAGGCTGAGGCTGAGGCAGGCTGAGGCTGAGGCAGGCTGAGGCTGAGGCTGAGGCAGGCTGAGGCTGAGGCTGTGACTGCGACTGCCGTTGCCACTGCGACTGTCATCGCGAATGCGACTACGACTGCGAGAACAGCAGAATTCTACAACTGGATTCTCATCCGAATCTTAAGGGGAATGCTTCCAGATATGCTCCTACACATCGATGTTAGGTTGCTTTGCCGGGATAATTCACTAAGGGGAGGTCTAATTATTCTTTACGCTTCGCGCTTCGCGTATCCCCACCAGCCCATCTCACAGCAGCAACTCTTGCGAAGCATGCCGACAGTCGTGTTTTTCAGGCGTGTGTCCGCTTGGCCCCGCATATCTCCCCTGTTCCTCCTTCCTCCCGCCTCCTTGTACATCCTCCTTGTGGGGGGAGCGGGAGAAGGACGAGGCGGAGGAGGAGGGAGAGAAAGCGCTCCTCGTGATTTGAGTCGTTTGGGGTTTCTCGTCCTGGTGTGAGTCGTTCGGGCTCTTCCTTCTCCTGGTGTGAGTCGTTCGGGCTCTTCGTGGTGTGAGTCGTTCGGGCCCCTCCTCCTGGTGTGACTCGTTCGGGCTCCTCGTGGTGTGAAGTCGGGCCCCGCGTCGTGGTGTGAGTCGTTCGGGCTCCTCGTGGTGTGAGTCGTTCGGGGGCCTCGTCGTGGTGTGAGTCGTTCGGGCTCTTCGTGGTGTGAGTCGTTCGGGCCTCCTCCTCCTGGTGTGAGTCGTTCGGGCCTCGTCTCTTGGGGGCCTCTTGGGGGCCTCTTGGAGCCTCTTGGGGCCTCTTGGGGGCCTCTTGGGGGCCTCTTGGGGGCCTCTTGGGGGCCTCTTGGGGCCTCTTGGGGCCTCTTGGGGGCCTCTTGGGGGCCTCTTGGGGGCCTTTTGGGGGCTTCTTGGGGGCCTCTTGGGGGCCTCTTAGAGGCCTCTTGGGAGCCTCCTGGGGGCCTCTTGGGGCCATCTTGGGGCCTCTTGCGACCTCCTCAGAAGCGCAAATGAGCGCTGCCCCCTGAGAAGGACAAAGTGAGCCCAAAACCTTTCTGTAAAATCAATGATTTTGCTAGGAAGGAAGATGAGTGCGGCCCCCTCAGAAGCCCACTCGGCCCGCCCTCTCCAGGTCCAGGGGAGGGGGTAGGGGGAGGGGTAAACCCCTCCCCGAAGGGGAAGATAGGGGGTTAGGGGGTTGAGAACAGAGAGAGCTCCCTAAACCACTCACGCCCAAAGGGCTGGTGGGACTAAAGGGAGGTTTGTCCACCGCCGAGAGTAGGTGTTCTTGGATCCCCAGATTCCAGTCTACTTTGAGCGCCTTCCTACTCCAATGATCGAGTGGCTTCGCCTTGTCCGTCCTCTTGAGGGGGGCGGGCGGAAACCCAATCTACTTTCAACGCCTTTCTACTTCATGCTTCTGCCTACTTCTTCCGACCGACGGGTCAACGTTCGACGGCCCGCGCGGATTTGTTTCAGATGTGCTGGACCGACCTGGCGGCGCCTCTGGCGCCGCCCCTGGCGCGCTCCGCGCGGCATGAAAAAGCATGTTTTGGAGGTCAGCGCCGGTGCAGGAAATCCGCGCGGACCTCCAAAACATTGTTCTTCTACTGTGGGGGGCCAGCTCTCTGCTGTGGTGCCGGCCGTTGCCGCCTGTGGGGGTCGATGTTTGTTCATGGGAGCCTTGGGCGGCGACCTTGAAATCGGTGTTCTTGCGTTGGGATAACATTTGCACCGCCTTTGGCCCTCCTCCTCCTCCTCCTCCTCCTCCTCCTCCTCCTCTTCATTCCTGTTCATTCTCCACCTCCTCGTTCTTCTCGTCTCCTGTTGAAGGTGCAAATCTGGTCGAAATCCAGTCGAAGTCTGGTCCTAAATATGTTCCGGGCCATTCGGGACGATCTGGGCAACCCGGGACGCCGCCAGTGTTTTAAGTGTTCGTTTAAGGGACACTTTTGTCCCCACCTAACGGATATGTTCGATTCAATTTCGTCTCAGCTCAGGTTCGATTCAAGTCGACGGACGCTCGACGCAGCATCCACACATGAGTGGAGCGAGCGGCTCCTGCGAAGTCCCCAGAACGGGCACTTAGACGATGATGATCGGCCATGATGAGTTCCGCAGCAGCCCCCACGCCAAAAGCCACTCCTGACCAGGAGCACTCGGGAACCTGTCGCTGTGCCGGGCCGGGCACCTCTTCCTCCTCCTCCTCCTCCTCCTCCTCCTCCTCCTCCTCGAAGGCAAAGCCCGCACGCCACGGCATGAGGGAGGGCACGGGGGCAGGCGAAGATGAGGGAGGTTGCCGACGCCGCGCGGTACTGCAAGGCAGCCGTGCCCCCGAGCACAGAGGCCTGCGCCGGCGGGCGGGGGCCCTCTCGGACGCGGGAGGGCGGGGAGGCTGCGCGGGGAAGCCCCGCCGTCTTCGTCTCGGTCGGGACGTGGGCGGCGCCCGGGGAGGTCGGCAGCGCCGCACGCCAGGGGCGTCGTGGCTCCCGAGGCTGGAGGCGGGGAGGCGATGGCGCAGACGTGCGGCAAGCTCGTAGGCCAGGGTCTGTTCGCAAGGGTGTGCCTGGGCCGGGCGACAGGGGGGGACATGGGGAAGGGGGGTTGCGACATCTGCTGCATGCAGCGGGTTTCGGCCCCCCCGAGGGGCCCATTCCTCGATACACAGTCGCATCCGGCGCCGGGAGGCGCCGGGAAAATCAGCTACGTGAGCTGATTCTCAAACCCGCCGTTTGCCATCCCCTCCTTTCGCCCGACCCGATGTGCCCGTGAGAGGAGGCGCGGGCAGGTGACAGGGGCTCGATGCACTGGTCGGTCTGCGCCGTGTGTAGGTGCCGGCTTGGCCGGCAACAGGGCCGTCTCACTCGTCGTGCAGGCTACAAGCTCTTCGGACTCGGACAAGGAAAAACGGCAGACGCATCAGTTTGCGGCGCTCCGCGCGGATGTCTCGGAGCCGCGCTGGGGCCCCCCTGGCGGTGCCTCTGGCGCCGCCCCTGGCGCGCTCCGCGCGCCAGGGAGGGAGGCCCAGCGCAGATCCAAGAAATCCGCGCGGAGCGCCGAAAGATTATGTTTATGGCGATTTTGTCTCTCTATCTTTGGATGACCCCGGTCGTGCACCACACCAGCTGGATACACTTAGAGGAGGGCGAGTTGTGACAGCAAGAGTTGGCCTTCGGGGGGCGCCTCGTCGCTGCGGCTGGACGCAGCTTGGCAGCCAGGTGCGGTTGGACCCCACGAGGGGTCTGGGGACTGATCTTGAGCTGACGTGGTCGCAACTCGCCCTGCTCTGGTCCAGGGCTCCTTGGAAAACGCCAGCCGTGCACCATACCAGCTTGATGCAACCTGCCGCGCGTGCCAGCGCGCGCAGAAGCGCGAATCGAACTGGTCTGGCACGCGAGTCACGTCGTCCAAGCTCCAGGGCCACACGGCTCCCCCCCCCTCGACGAAGAAACGCCTGCGCAATACACAGAATACGTGGGAGCTCCGCGCGGACGTCTTGGATCTGCGCTGGCCCCCGCCTGGCGGCGCCTCCAGCGCCGCCCCTGGCGCGCTCCACGCACCAGGGAGGGAGGTCCCGCGCCGATCGAAGGCATCCGCGGACCTCCGAAAGTTTAGCAGCTTTGAAACGCTTTACGCGCTGCTTGTTCCAAGGCAGTTGCCCGCTGTCTCCCCGAGAGCAGCGAGTTCCTGGCACCAACCTTTCGGACACAGCTCCCTCCCCTGTACAGTAGGTCTTCGGACAAGGTCCCAGCGGGAGCCAAGAGGATACGCGCAGGCCCGCAGACTCCCGAAGGACCTCCCCAGAGATCTGCAGGACATCGAATCAAGAGCAGAGCGTACTGCAAGTCTTGATGGCCTTTCAAGGGACCTGAAGCCGCGGAGCGGCTGCCCAAGAACCAGCAAGCAGACGGGGACGGGGACACGATGATGGCATACATGTGGGGAGAAATGCCGACCGCAAGAGGGAGAAGCAACGGAGAGGGGAGGTCCGGTGGGCAGGCGACACGCAAGACGGAGGGAGCGGGAGGGGTAGCACGTAGATAGGCGGGCAATCAGCGGGGAGGAGGATGCTTGCTCATAGATAGGAGCTCGAGGCGATTCGCCAGTGTGGGAAAGGAGGGTGACGAGGAGGAGGAGGAGGAGGAGGAGGAGGAGGAGGAAGAGGAAAAGGAGGAAGTGGTGGAGGAGGAGGAGGAAGTGGTGGAGGAGGAGAGGAGGAGCAAGAGTGCATAACCACTGACTCACAGCCGATTGACATTAGAGAGTGCCGCGGAACATTGAATGCATGGGAGAAACTCACTATTCATCAGTCTTTCTCAGCCGCAGACCAGAGACCCGCTGGCATCCTGTAGCTGCTTATCCTTGCCGCCCAGGGCGGCCATGCAGGCGGCAAGGGAACAAAGGACAGGGCTGATCTCTGGCGAGACTACCCTGTGCAGCTTCACCGAGCCTTTGTCGAAGGCCTTCCGAAGCTTGCACGTGACGATGCTGCCGCAAACCAAACGGCCCGAGTTATTGGCCGAAGCCTGACATTCACGAACTGTGGCGAATGTGGCGAAATCTCTTCTGGGGGCCTGGCAAGCGGCGTCCATCGTCATGGTTGTCATCACCCTGCACCATAGCAGGAGCTTCGGACCGGCGCTCGATATGCCCCCTGGCTGATATTTGATCTCTTTTGTCATCGCATGTCACGTGTTCATTTCGGGCCGGTCGCCCTGGCGCGATCGGGCACGTGTTTCAATTTCTGCACGAAGTTCCTGAACGTCGGAATAACATGCAAGAGCCGCTGGAGTAACATGCGGGAGGATGTGGCGCCTCAGCTTTCCGACGTCTCTCTCCCTCTCTCTCTTTTCCCATCGCTGGAGAAGCCATTGCGCTACGCCTTCGCAGGAGCGTGCGGAATCTTGGGGGCTCGCGGCCGGCGAATTGCTAACAGTAGTGCGTGGACGAGTTGGAGACAGGGTTCAGCCCTCATGCAGGGGTCATCCAGAGAGCAAGACGCAGCAATATCCTGCTCTGGCTGATACCAGGTTGCTTCGGCTCCAGGCTGAACCGACCCGTCACTGATTGCTTGGCTCTGGTCTGGATGCGGTACCTATTTTCAGGTCACATGCGACCAAATCCGCATGTCGTTGACCCCAGTAAACTTGACCGAAACGCGAGGGCGCGAAGATAATCGCGCTTCCCGCGTCGCGGTCTGGGCCAGAGCAGCTGTCCTTATCCCCAGGAGGGCGGGCGCGAGAGGCTAAGATAGTCAAGCGTTCGCGCATCGCTCATCGATCGTCGCTAGGTGACCTAGGAAGCCGATCGTGGATCAGATAATACTTGCGGGGCTACTCGCACCCTGAGCGCTCCAGAGCTGGTCTCGCTTCTCCTGGGCGCATCTTCGTTCCAATGGGCCTCGACCTGCGTTGTCGTTGGCGGCGTCCTGTGGCGTCGTCGCCGTCGCCGTCGCCGTCGTGTCGTCGGCGTCGGGGCCGTGTCGTCGGCGTCATCGTGTTGTCGTCGGCTGCGTCGTCGTATTGTCGTCGGCGTGGTCGTCGGCGTCGGCGTCGTCGTCGTGTCGGCGGCGCCGTCGCCGTCGCGTGGCCGTCGGCGGCGCCGCTGCCGCCGGGGCCGACCAGGCCGAGGCCGCGCCGGCGCTGCTGGGCTCGGAGGCCAGCGAGGCCCCTTCCCCCTGCTGGCCTGGGGGGGGCCGGGGATCGGAGGGCGGCCAGCGGAGACGACCGCGGCCCTGCCCGGTGTCGGGAGGGGAAAAGGCACATCACATGAGGCGTTCCCAAGTTGGGCTTCTTGTCGGTCCCCACAGGCGCAGCCTTCGGGGGCCGGAGGAGTTGTGATCTCTGCCTCGGCGGAAGGTCGGCGGAAGTGGAGCGAGGCCGCCTCTGCAGGCGGAAAGCTGGCGAAAGCCGGCGGGCGGCTGGCGGAGGGCGGCGGAAGCGACAGGTGCGCCCCCGAAAGCGTTTCTGGGGTCCAGGGTTTCCGGCACCGCCCACATCTGCACAGAGAGGCGTCGACGACCCCAATAGAACACGGCGGGAAAGCTTGGCGAGGGGGGGGGGCGAGGGCGAGGCTCCCTAGCGTATGGGGACGCACATGGGGCGTCCGTGGGATTGCTGCGTGTGCGTCCCCGGGCCGCGTTCTCTCTGGGTGCCGTTCGTTCTTGCTGTGGCCGTCCTGGATCAAGCAGCGGCGAAGCGTCCCGGCGTGCCGATCGCCCTGCCAAACAATGTTCCAAGAACCTGTTGTGGCTTCCACGAAATGTTCTCAGAACATGTCTGGCTGGGACAGTCTTGTTTTAACGCATGAGGCTCATGTTCTACGGACATTGCACAGTGCGTTTGTTCTTAGAACATTGTTGGGCTCTAAGAACATTTCGTGGTAGGACTATAGGAACACCGGGACGGTCGGTCCCTGCTCAACTGGAGGCGCGTCGTTGCCACGGCCGGGGTCCGTCTCGAGCGGTGGATCTGGACTGCGCCCGGTCGAGACCCACGCAGCTATGGATGAGGACGCGTTGGTCAGCGGCGGGCCCCGTGTCCATGCAGAGTCGGCGCGGCCCGTCGACACTTCGGATACGCGTGCACACTTGGTAGCATTAGGGCTCAGGGCGCTCAACATCCGAGGCCGCGCCCACCGTGAGCGGAGTGGAGGGGGGGAATCCAGCCGTTTGGGCCCCGCTTCCATGCACGGTCGGCGCGGCCCGTCACCGAATGCCCCGGCACTGGCCTCGCGTTTCGGGGGGTACTCGTCTCCCCGATCGGCGGATGCGGATCTGGACCCCGCGCGGCAGATCCGGGGATCCGTGATCCATGTTGCAGTCAACCCGCACAGTGGTAAGGATGGGCAACCTTCCCAAGGGTACCCTGGCAACCTTGCCTCCTCGGTCCATCCCTGGCCACTTCCGTTGGCCGCGCCCCGCTTGATAAGCTTCGGAATGGGAGTCCAAGGCCCTTGCATCCTTATCGTTATGGAGGACGATCCATGGAGAGGAAGCATGTGGCCAAATACTTTCCAGATGTCTAAAACATGGTTTAACATGTGTAAAACATGTTTAGGATGATGTCCTACATTATAGGACTGTTAGAGTGTCCACTGTCATGGCATCCACAACCTTATCGCGCATCCTCATGGCACGGGCCGACCGTACCGCGTACCCGACGTGTGGTTTCCGTCTGTGTGGGGCCTCTCTGGGAGGCCTCTCGCCACCACGGCTGGATCCACATCGACACAGTAGTCCCTGGGCGTCCTTGGTTTTCTCTGCACCCAGAGGCTGCCCAACCAAAGGAGAACGGAATGAGGAGGGACCTCGGCCATGAGGGCTGGGCGTTCGTAGTTCTCGTCGCAACGGCTGGGTCCTCTGGTCCTACGCCGAGGCACGCTGCAGGTTTGCACCCCGAGGCCGCCCAGCCAGAGACGAAGGGGTGGGAGGAGGGCCCTCTGCCAATGGGGGGAAAAGGGTTAGCATTGAGTCGGGCATGCCCCTCTACAGGAGGAATGCCCAAGGATAGTTTTACAAATAATAGATGGACGAGTTGGTTTTACGATGTGTGATTTGTTTCGAACCTTTTGGGGCCATACTTCATTTTCCTTCCAGAATCCGCCTGTAGGAAGACACGCCCGACAGGACGAGAAGGAGGAGGAGGAGGAGCAGGAGGAGGAGGAGGAGGGAGGAGAAGGAGGAGAAGGAGGAGGAGGCGGGAGAAGGAGGCGGAGGAGGAGGAGGAGGAGGAGGAGCAGGGAGAAGGAGGGGGAGGCGAAATGGTGCCACCTTGGAGGCCATGATCAAAGAAGGGGGAAGGTCCCCTGACAGCATAGCCCCCCAGGAGGCAAGCATGAGCGCGGAACGTGTGGAGAGAAGTATGTATTTTTGCTTTCTCGCTGAGGCCTTCTTGGACGCTCCAGCCCGTCGCCGCCCCCCCGTCCAGACCCATGGGGAAGGGGTATGGGGGAAGGACGAAACCCTCCCCGAAGGGGAAGAGGGGAGGTTGGAAGAACTGACTCGCTGATCCACTCACGCCCTACAGGGCTGAGACGCTCGGCTCTGCACTCCCGAAAGGGATGTGCCTGCTGGATACTCATCTCCTGACACTTCGCTTCGAAGTCGGTGTATAAAGTCTCCGCCGCGCAGCCTGGTGCCCCCCCCCCCCAGGGAGGGGATGCAAGGCGGACTCATTGGCAACACTTGCGGGTTGCACCATGCAGTTCCGCCCAGCCGTGGGACACTGTTGTTTTTTCCCTGCTGGGAAGCTTGATTTCTCAGGAGCTCGGGCCCATCGATCAGAATGTACTTCTGCCATGATGTTGCATCGAGCATTTTAACCCTCCTGCCGGACCCTGCACAAACACAGCTTTTCTGTTTAGACATGCGATGTGACATGCCAATTGGTCTTGTAAACTTGCGAATGCCCGCGCTGCTTGCACATCACTCTTGCATGGGTCTCTTGCAGCATGCGTGTTGCCAGTGTGTCGCGTCGGGCCAATTGGCGACAAGGGGCCCTGGAGGGAGATGATCGCTGCCAGGAATTGCTGCCACATTCAAGATATCCTTGCTGCCATCATGATTTCCTCTGCGATTGAAGCGGCAAGTTGTAAATAGGTTCGCGCCATGCTGCATAAGTACTTGCCGAAGAGGGTGACGCTCTGCTGCAAGCACGCCTACCCGGACCCTCTTAGCGGCGCCGCCTTTTCGTCTGTTTCTTGTGTGCGCAATGTAGGCATCACGGATTGCGAATGGGAGCAATATCGGCACGAGGATTCTCGGATAACACAGCGAACGAGGTCTTGAAGATGCCACTTACGTCTTTGGAAGCAGCACCTTAGAGAGAGCCGACAGAACCGAGGCAGGTCGACCGCGAGACCGTACCTGATCGGAGGTTCACAGACCTACCCTGACACGTCGATTAGCAAATTGGCCGTTTTCGGTTCACGAGAGGGCGTCGCGGCCGTCACTTTTGCGGGTCCAGGTCCGTCGGCTTCGGTCCTAGGTCTTTTCATGCAGGGGAGGTTTGCTAAAAGGCAGGCTTGTCCGCCGCCGATCTGAGAGCGTGCGGCGGCCACTCGGCCACGCGTCTGCGCGTGCTGTTGGCCGCCCCCCTTGCGGTTTCGGTTGAGGTTCCGGCTTCGGTTGAGGCTCCGGCTTCGGTTGAGGTTCCGGCTTCGGTTGAGGTTCGGCTTCGGCTGCTCCGGCAGTGCCGGCTCGGCTCGGCTCGCCGCCGCCGTCGCGCCGCCGTTGTCGCCGCCGCCGCCGCCGTGCCCGACGCCGCCGTGGCACCGCCGTCGTCGGACGCCGACCTCCCCGGGGGCCCTCCTTCTCCTCCTCCTCCTCCTCCTCCTCCTCTTCCTCCTCGTCCTTTTCCTCCTCCTCCTCCTCCTTCTCCTCCTCCTCCTCCTCTTCCTCCTCGCGCTGTGAAAAAAAATCACGGCGGAAGGTTTGTCGCTGTTTTCGGCCTCTGGGGTCCCTTCCCGGGTCTCGGAGCCGTCGAGAAACGATTCAGGACGAAAAGCCGGTCTCGGGGAAAAGGTCCAGACCTATTATGGGGGTCGACGTTGTGAATAAATCAAGACGTCGTGGGTCTGGGTCCAGCGATACGACCCTCTGGCCCAGTCTCAGAGCAGGGCCCCTGAACAAGGGCCGTAACTCAGGACTTCCTTGGCGCGCCCAAGAGAACCGCAGCCGTGGGCCGAAGCATTCTCGATGGCTCGTTCCCTCGAAGAAGGGCAGCGGCATGAGCAGGAGTTGTCGGAGCTCCGCGCGGAGTCCTTGGCTCTGTGCTGGGCCCCCCCTTCCCTGGCGCACGCAGCGCGCCAGGGGCCCTCCGCAAGTCCGACAACACTGCACGGAGCTCCATCCAGTGTATGCTCATGCAGGTTGTTTTGTTAGGGGGCAATAAGTGACATAAACATAAACATTCGGAGGTCCGCGCGGATTTCTCGGATCGGCCCGGCGGCGCCTCCGGCGCCGCCCGGGTCCAGCCCCGATGCGAGAAATCCGCGCGGACCTCCGAGTTTTTATGTGTATGCCACTTTCTGTTCCCCTATTTGCCCTCCTACCTCCCACGGTGCAGTGTTCCGAGCCCTGGTCTGCAGCGTCGTGGCCTACAGTCCCGATCCGAGACAGCGGCCGCACGCGGCGGGGCCGCGGCTTCGGCAGGGAGCTCGCGCCCGAGGCCCGGACCTCCGTCGCCGCGAAGACGTTACTGTGGAGGCCCGTGCCAAGAAGCACCCTGCTTGCCTCCAGGGTGCCCTGGGCTTCTTGGGCTTCGATGGCTGTGCTGTGGAAGGCGCGACGTCCCCACCCCAACGACCAGCGGACGTCCTGGGGTCTCCGGGGTGGGTTTCTTGTGGAAGGTCTCCTGTGGTCGGGGGCGGAAAAGAGGGGGGTGATGACTAGGGGGGGTGGATATCATGGCGGGGGCCATGATATTTCCCCAGATTTCATGGCGCCTCTTCTTATTTCATTACGTCCCTGGCCCCCCCGCTGGGCCGCGCACATGCCGCTGGTCATGATTTGCACCCCCCCCTCTTGGACACCCCTCTTGGCCGCTCCCGATGTGGACTGGCCTCCACTGTATATAGCGGCACGTGCTCTCGGCAGCTGGACCTCCAGCGCCCCTGTTCCAGGCCCCACGGCCGCTACCAAACAGCCACCCCAGGAAGAAGACCTCACGCACGGCCCCAGCGCCGAGAGAAGCGGCAGTCGGGGGGTCGGAAGGGGGTCGCTGCTCCGGAGGGATCTCCAGGGCTCGTCCTCCGGCACTCCTCGTGCACCCGGGAGCTGCTGGTGCCGGGAAGGAGCTCCGTTCCTTGTTCAGCGTTTCTTAACTCAGCAGCCAGAGACTGACGAGGAGGAGGACAAGAGCCAGTATGCATCAGCGACGCTGCAGCGCAAGCCCCCTTCTCAGAAGTGCACGCAGATGCATGTCTTCCTTGCCCTGGCCCTTCCCACTGCGGGGAAGCGCCCCCGCTGGATGGACGAGCGCCCTGGCGGGCTGGCTTCTCTGGCGAGACCTCGTCGTGTGATGGATCAACCATCCACCATTGCTGTGGGGAGGAGGAGGAGGAGGGGGAGCAGGAGGAGGAGGAGGAGGAGGAGGAAGAGGAGGAGAAGGAGGAGGAGGAGGAGGAGAGAGCAGGAGGAGAGAGCAGGAGGAGAGAGCAGGAGGTGGAGGTGGAGAAGGAGGAGGGGGAGGAAGAGGAGGAGGAGGAGGATGAGGAGGAGGAGGAGGAGGAGGAGGAGGAGGAACGGCACCACCATCAGAAGCACGATCCTCGACCCTACCTTCGATATTTTATTATCCTCCCTTGTCCCTCGAGCCTCGGCCCTCCTCCCTCGATCCCGCCTCCCTCGAGCCTCGATCCTCCCCCCTCCCGCCTTCCCCCTCCTCCCTCGATCCCTCCTTCCTCGTCCCTCGAGCCTCGGCCCTCCTCCCTCGATCCCGCCCCCCCCCGAGCCTCGATCCTCCCCCGTGCCCCGCCTCCACCCTCCTCCCTCGATCCCTCCCCCCTCGAGCCTCGATGCCCCGCAGGACTGGGCCACCTGGCTGCAGGAGGCCTCGTCCGCCGTGCTCCGCGCGGGCCTCTCTGGGGGGCAGGAAGGAGCGCCTCTGGGGGGGGCGGGGGGGGGGAGGGGCGGGGGCGCCGTGCCGAGCGGCGCCCCCGTCGCCGAGCGCCCCCCGCCGCGAGGGCCCCCCCCGCCGAGCCGCGGCCGCCCGCCGAGCGGCCCTCGCCCGCGCGCCGCGAGCGGCGGGCGCGGAGAGCGCTCGCGCCACCCGCCGGGCGGCGGCGGCTTGGCGCGCCCGCTGCGCCTCGGCGGCCGCCCGGCGCCCCTCCGGCCGCCGAGGCGCTCCTCGGGCCAGCCTCCTCCTGGTCTTCGCCGGTTTCGGCGTGTTCGGCCTGTTCACCAGCGTCGGTTTCGCCCTCTGAGCAGCAGCGTAGTTCGCTCCTGCGCGCTCAGGGTCGACTTAGTCCGCTGCGCGTTAGCCGGGTGTCGATGGCCGCCGCGGCGGCCGTTGCTCGCAGGGGGGGGGGCGGCCGCTCGGCGACCATGGCGCGGAAAGGGCCACCCGCCGCGGGCCGCGCGACGCAGGTGGTCGGCGAGGTCTGGGCCCTGCCCTCGCCGATCGAGGATCCAGGCGGTTCGATCCGAAGAGGATCCAGGATGGAGGATTCAGGATCCTCGATCCAGGCGGATCGAGGATCCAGGATCCAGGCGGCTCGATCCGAAGAGGAAATATCGCCATACATATAAACTGTTGGCGCTCCGCGCGGAGTTCTTGGTTCCGCGCTGGGCCCCCCCGGCGGCGCCTCTTGCGCCGCCCCCGGCGCGCTCCGCGCGCCAAGGAGCGGGGTCCAGCGCGGATCCAAGTAATCCGCGCGAAGCGCCAAAAGGTTCTGTTTAGGTGTTTGTTTTCTTCCTCTAGTTTCACGCGGCTCGATGGGCGGCTAGCCAAAACAAAAGAATACGGCCAGTCTTTGGACCGCTCTCGACCTCAGTGCGCCGCGCGCGGGGGCCCCTGGAACCGACAAAAACGGGTCTGGAGTGAAGCACTGCACCGGAGGGACCCTGGGAGGGGTCGGGGGACTAGTTTTGATCGGGCGGGCCCTTGTCCACCCTACGTTTAAGTCGAGCGTGTCACTCTACAGGAGGAACGTTCAAAAATCGTCAAACATAGTACGGGGACGATTTTTTCATACATATGAAGTAGCACCCGCAATTGCGGATAAGTGTGAGGGGGCGGGCGCGGGCGACGCGGGCGCGGGAGTGGAAGGAATTCAAAAACAGCCCGCCGCAGGCGCCGAACATTCTGACTCGTACACTGAGCGCGGTTTGGGTCGCAGGTTCTCCAACTGGAACGAATCGCGGGTGGGTCGCAGGTTCTCCACCTGGAACGCATGCAAAAGAAACCCGCCGCAGGGTCCGAAAATTTTGGGTGGGTCGCGGGGTGGGTCGCGGGTGGGTCGCGGGTGGGTCGCGGTGGGTCGGGTGGGTGGGTGGGTCGCGGGTCGCGGGTGGTCGCGGGTGGGTCGCGGGGTGGGTCGCGGGTGGGTCGCCGAGGGGGTTTCGGGGTGGGTCGCGGGCGGGTCGCGGGGTGGGTCGCGGGTGGGTCGCTGGTGGGTCGCGGGTGGGTCGCGGGGTGGGTCGCGGGTGGATCGCGGGGTGGGTCGCGGGTAGGTCGCGGGTGGGTCGCGGGGTGGGTCGCGGGTGGGTCGCGGGGCGGGTCGCGGGTGGGCGACGACAACAACAAATAACGAACAGCAAACAGCAAACAGCAAACAGCAAACAACAAACAACAAACGACAAACGACAAACGACAAACAACAAACAACAAACAGCATACAACACACAACGCACAACACACAACAAAGAACAAACAACAAACATCACACAACAAACAACAAACAACACACAACAAGCAACAAACAACAAACAGCAACAACAACACCAACACCAACACCACCACCACCAACAACAACAACAACAAACACAACAACAATAACAAGACCAACAACAACACCAACAACAAACACAATAACCCGCATCGCGGAATTCCACTTCAGCCACGCACCCAAGGACAGTGAATGACCCTTCGGAGAGAGAGAGAGAGAGAGAGAGAAACAGAGACAGAGACAGAGACAGACACACACACACACACACACACACACACACACACACACACACACACACACACACACACATATATAATATATATATATATATATATATATATATATATATATATATGCATATACACACATATATATATATAATATGTTTGAACATGTTTGAACATTTGGGGCTATTTTTTCTATTTTTCGTCCCAAACCCGCCCGTAGGAGGACATGCCCGACCTGACCCCACGTATGGCCTCGCCGACCAGCGCTGCAGGCCACTCGCGGGGCGGCGGGGGCAGCCGAGGCGGCGGCGCCCCGAGCCTCTCCGAGAGCCTCCCCGCCCCCCGCGGGGCACAGCCACGCGCGCGATCCCCTCGCAGGGCTTAACGCGCGCCGCCGGCGGCGGCGCGCTGAGGGCGAGCTCCGGGCCGCAGGCCTCCCCGAAGTGGTCCGAGCAGATGGAGGCGGAGGGTCTCGCGCCGCATCGCCGATGCGTCGCCGATGCGGCTCGATGTGGAGCCCGCTTGTTCTCCACGCCGGCTGCGCCGAGGCTTCGCCGAGGCACTGGGAGGCTTCCAATGGGTGCCCACTCTGCCGGGGGTCCGGCTCGCGATAGGGAGTGCGAGGGCCACCGCGTTCGCGCGGGGCGTTGGCGCCCGGCTCCCAGAGCATCTGGCAACCTCAGGCATGACGGGGTGGAGCGCTGCAGGGTTGTGCGTTTCATTCTGAAGTTGTCGTGGAGGTTGGGCGGGTGCGGTCCAACGTTCGTTCTGAAGTTGGAGGGCTGGGGGGGCGGATTGAATCTAGGGGTGGGTCTAAGGTTGAAAAGTTGGGGGAGCGGTGGGATCTAAGGTTGAAGGGTGGAAACTGAGATTGATTCGACGGCTTGATTCAGGGTTGGCTTCAAGGTTGGACTTAGGGCTGGCTTTAGGGTTGGCTTTTGGGTTGGGTCGAGGGTCGGCTTTTGGATTGGGTTGAATCTAGGTTTGGTTTTAGGGTGGACTTCAGGATTGGATCTAGGGACGAATGTAAGCAAAGATCGAAGATTGAATCTAAGGCTGGACCAAGGGATGAGTCCAAGGCTGGGCCTATACGTTGCTATTCCTTGTGTTACTCAATCAATGTACGTCGGCGCCCTCCTTGGCTGAGCTCGCAGCGAGCTTCCAGCGCAGCCCAATTCTTTGAACCTGTTCAATTGACCCACAGGGGCTCATCAACCACATCAAATACACTGCATCATGTCTGTAAAGTGAGTTCGTTGAACTAGTTTGTGGGTATCAATTTACCAGCTGAACTGATGCAGGCGCCTGCGATTGCCGCGGCTTGTTCCTAGAGGGTGCCGACATGAACCAGATAAATAAGATGAGCAAGCTGGGAAAATGCAGCTTATCCGATGTACTGTATTTCAGGTTCGGGTCCGCTGATCTGAACCAACCAAATGGATTGTTTCAATGCGCCTCATCAAACTTATGTATTACATCTTCTCTAATGTATTCAATGTGTTTCGGCACCTTCCTGGCGGCGCTTGCAGCGCGCTGCCGGCGCGGCCAAATCAATTCAATCTGGTTGATGAAAAGTTTGGGATGCAGTTAAGCAGGCGAGGTTCATCAAAGTAAGTATCATTGGATGAATTCAGGATATGAATTGAATAATTGAGCTGGTTCTTGCGCCCGCGAGCGTCGCGGCCTGGACGCTCGTTGCCCGCTTAGCAGCTGCCCTGCCGCCAAGCGTCTGGATGAGCATTGCCTTTGGGGTGCAACCACAACCACCGCTTTCGTCAGAGTGGGGCTCGGCGATCACCACGAACTATTTGGCGTTCCGCCTGAAGACTCTGTCTGGCGACGTGGGGCTGTTCGTAGGCTCTAGCCGTGAGGCGAGCTTGCGGCCGTTGAACAGTGCGACGACGTCCGCTACCTTCCCAAGCTCGCCGTGCAAGTTGACGGTAGCCTGGCCCGGTTGATGGTTTTCGTTGTTGGACGATTTTGTGAGGGAGGACGTTCTGACATATCATCGTGTGACGGACGTTCGTATGATCGATATTTGTATGGTTGATGGTTTAGGAAGCGCGATTCTACGATGAATGAGTGATGAATGACTGCAGGATGGATGGTCGTACCATGGTTAACTTTATGCTTGATGCTATCATGATGCTCGGATGTATGATGTGTGAGTGTACGAGAATTGATTGTCTGACTTGTGATGTGTTGTGGGTGATTTGACCATGGATGCTTGCATGGTCATCATTGCAAGAACGTGTTCTACCGCTGCTGGCGGAAAACGGGGGGGGTCACTAGGGGTTCCCAACCCGTCCCCCCCCCCCTTCGAAAACCGGGGGAGGGGGGGGGTCATTGATTCGACCCCACCCCCCCAGTCCATCATGAAAAGGGTGGGGGTCACTACCGGTTCAAGCCCCCCCCCCCTCGAAAACCGAGGGGGGTCACTACGGGTTCGAACCCTCCCCCCTTCTCTCGCCGCTGGCAAACGACTCCCGCTCCTCGGGAAGGTTGGACGGTGGTGGGGATATTGGGACAGTGGTGGGGACGGTGGTGGTGGGGACAGTGGTGTGGAGACAGTGGGACAGTGGTGTGGACAGTGGTGGGGACGGTAGTGGTGGGGATAGTGGTAAAGGCGGTGGTGCGGACGGTGGTGGGACAGTAGTACAGTGGGGAGAGTAGTGAGGACAGTGGGGACGGTGGGAAAGTGGTGGGGACAGTGGGGACAGTGGGACAGCACAGTGGGAGAGCGGCGGGGACAGTGGGGACAGTGGGAAAGTGGCGGGAACCGTGGGAATAGTGGGACAGTGGTAAGAACCTTGGGGAAAGTGGGGAGAGCGGGACCGTGGTGGGACAATGGTGGGAAGAGTGGGGACAGTGATACATTGGTGGGGGCATTGGTGGGGACAGCGGGGACAATGGTGGGAACAGTGGGAACAGTGGGACGGTGGTGGGGACTGTAGGACAGTGGTGGGGACGGTGGTGGTGGGGACAGTGGTGTGGGGACACTGGGAATGTGGAGGGTACAGTGGGACAGTGGTGGGGACAGCGGTGGTGGGGACAGTGGTGATGGCGGTGGCGAGGACGGTGGTGGGACAATGGGACAGAGGTACAGTGGGGACAGTGGTGGGGACAGTGGGGACAGTGATGAGAACAGTGGGACAGCTCAGTGATGAGAACAGTGGGACAGTGGAGACAGTGGGAACAGTTGGACAGTGGTGGGGACCGTGGGGACAGTGCGACAGTGGTGGGGGCGCAGGTGGGGACAGTGGGGGATGGTGGCGGGAAAAGTGGGGACAGTAGTGGTGTGGACGGTGGTGCTGGGGACAGCGGAGTGGGATGTGGTGTGGACGGTGGTGGGGATCCAGGAGTCGTTTGCCGGCGGTGAGGGGGGGGGGTTCGAACTGGTAGTGACCCCCCCCCCAGTTTACTGGAGGAGGGGGGGGGGGTCGAAGTGGTAATGACCCCCCCCCCCGTTTTCCAGAGGGGGGAGGAGGAGTTGGGGGTTAGGGGGGGGTCCCGGGGGGAGGGGGGTCCAGCAGGGGGGGGGGGGGGGGAATTTCGAAGGTGGGGGAGGACCCCCGGGTTCCGGAGGGAGAGGGGGGGAATTATCCGTTCCGTAGTAAAGCGGCGGTGGATCACGCTCTCTCATCATTGATGAACGTATAATGGATGATGGTATGATGTTTGGTTGTATGATGAACGACAATATTGTAGACGATTGTACGATTGGTGGGTTTGTGATGGATGACGTTACGATTGACGATGCCCCGACGCATGTTTTTATGATGGATGAGCTTATGATGGGTGCTTGCATGATAGGTGAGTCTATGATGCACCGTTTTAGGCTGGGTAATACTGTGTTCGATGTGTGTAGGCTGGATGATGGTATGCTGGATGGTGGTATGACTGGTGGTTGCATCTTGGGGGGGCATGACGGGTGGTTCTTATGATGGCTGAGTTTACGATGGGTGATGCTACGATGGGTGGTTTGATGATGGATGATCTCATGATGGGTGGCTTTATGATGGATGAGAGGGCGCTCCATCATGAAAGCTGCTTGGGGCCTCTACCCAGGAAGCACGAGGCCCGACTCTCGAAGCGGCCCCAGCGCTGGCCTCGGCGGGCCGGGGTGCCCCGGCGCCTCGTGCCCAGAGACTGCCCCGAGTGTGGCGCGGGGGCTGGGGGGGGAGTGCGTCGAAGAACAAAAATTATGTCGGGCCTGTCCCCCTACAGGGGGATTGTCGATAAAAATAGAAAATACCCCAAAGATAATTGAGAAATTGTGCTAACACAGTCTGGGGACTGGGGACCTTTTTTTTTAGTATGTTTTGCCTTTTTGGTATATTTTTGGGGGGTATGTTTTATTTTTCGTCGAAAGTCCCCCTGTAGGGGGACACGCCCGACATAAAACAAAAAACCGCATGAGCATCAACTTCCAGGCGATCGCAAACATGGGCCCAGGGGGCGCGGATTAGCGACGGATCCCGCTCGCAGATTTCCGCCGCCGAGCGAGGCGGCACCGGCCGCATGTTGGGGAGGGCACCTCCCCCGATCCACGGATTTGGCGACCGCGCGCCAAATCCATGGATCGCTAATCCATGTTTGCACGCCCCCGAAACTTGTGGTGGCCAGCGCGGACTCCTCGGATCTGGGCTGGGACCCCCTGGCGCGCTCCGCGCACCAGGGAGGGAGGGGTTCGAGCAATCCGCGCGGACCGCCAAAAGGGTATGTTTATGCAGTTTGTTGTTCCTCTGGTGCGACACGGGCCAGCTCCGAGCCATCAGCCAGAGAGGGGAGGAGGTACCGCCATTGCTGCACCCTTCCTCAGAGCGTGAATTACCTACCCCGCTTTCGCTTCCAGGCAGGTCCAAGTCATACCACGCGCCTCCTCGTCAAGCGGCCTGACCAGTACAGGGCCGTAATTTGGCATCGCTTGGTATCTCTTGGAAGCGAGGGTGGTCCAAAGCGAGGCAGGTTTGCTTGCCCCCCTCCTTCCCTCCCTGCCGCGCCCGGGTACGCCTCGAGATCCTGGGCAGCACGCGCCCCTGGCGCACTGGTACAGGGTGCCCTCTGGTACCCCCAAGCCGGCGGCTCCGGTCGAGGGCTGCGCCCTGCCTCACGACCCACGGCGTCGCGACTGTCTCACAACGTCGACGCCCAGAGGTCTCGACCCCTTCCCCGGGAGCGGTTCTTCATTCTGGGCCTCCTAGGTGGAGTCGGAGCAGATGGGGTCGGAGGATCGCGCCGCATCGCCGACGCATCGCCGATGCATCGGCGATGCGGCTCGATGTGGAGCCATCTTTTCTCCACGCCGACGGCCCCGATGCCTCGCCGACGTCGCCGATGCATCGCCGACGCGGCGCGAGCCTCCGACCCCATCTACTCCGACCCCATCCAGGAGGCCTCTACTCATCCCCAGTCCTCTTTCGACCGCCCCGGGGCCGCGAAGAGGGGCCGCCGGGTGCCGAACACAGCGAAAAGCTTCCGGTCCGGAACTTCTTCGCGACGCGAGGGGCTGTGGGCGGTCCGCGCGTGCGCCTCTGGAGACGCTGAACATAGCGAAAAGCTTCCGGTTGCGGCTTCTTCCGCGACGCGATCGGAGTCTGGGCGGTCAGCGCGCGCACCTCTGGAGGGGAGGTGGCTCCAGAGGCGGCAGGGGTACCTCTGGAGAGGGCCGCGGCGCAGCGGTCCGGGGTGCCTTCGGGTGCCCCCCCCCCCCTCCGCGGGCGGCCACGCGGTCGGGCGTGGCGCGCTGGGCCGGGCCCCGGCCACCGCGGCAGGGCGCGGCCCCCTCGGGCCCGTGGGCGGCCCCCGGGGGCCGCCGGCCTTCGGGGGGGGAAGAGGACCCATACCTCTAGCCTGAAGTCGGGCATGCCCCTCTACAGGAGGAATATTCAAAATCAGTCAAAAAATGATATGGGGGCGTATATTTGTGTTGCATATGCCCCTCTAGGGGGCCCGTGGGCGGCCACTGGGGGCCGCCCTCCTTCGGAGGAGGAAAAAGTATACCCATACCTCTAGCCTTAAGTCGGGCATGTCCCTGGCGATTCGATCCGATACTCGATCCGAGCCGATCTCGCGATCCGATCCAGCGCAGACCTGCCAGAGCAGGGCGGGGAGGCCGTGCCGAACAGCATGGTCTCCCAGTGCAGCGTGCACCTGAGCATCGAGCCGGAAGGGAGGGGGCCTCCCTCCTCCACCAGCACGTCGCAGTATTCCCGCCCTTTCCCGTGCCATGTCTTCCTCTTTGGTTCGTCCTGTCGCACTTTCTGGAAAAAACGCGGAGCCTGCAGTGCATCACGGGCGGAGGTCCTTGGCGTTGCCCGTTCTTTTGCCCATCTGTCCCGTTGAATCGTCCCTCCCTCTCTCGTTCCCCCCTCCTCCCGTCTCCTCCCTCCTTCCCCGCATCCCCCTCCTTACCCATCCCTTACCATTCCTCCCTCATCCTCACGCCCGTTCCTCTCCCGCCTCCTCCAACCCTGCGTCCCCTGAGACCCGACGCTGCGAATAAAATGCGAGGTCGCGAGACATCACGGCCCGAGCCCTGGACCCCATCGTTCTCAAGCATCTTGCGCGCCCGCTCGATCTGGGACGGTCCCCGGGCCCGAAGCCGGGCGAACACTGCCCGGCCGAAGGTGGCAGTGGAAATGATTGGCGCTCCGGGGAGGGATGCGTTCACGTCCGCGCCAGGGTGAAGCCAGCAGGCAGGTTCTGCAGGCTACTTACGCAGCACTCAATTCAGGCAGCGGGGTGGCGTGACTGCCCGTCGGCCTGCGTGCTGTCAGGCCTCGGGTGTCAAGCTTGATCCAAGGGGCGTGCCAAAAGAGGTGTGAGCATCCCAGGGCAAACCGTTCAATTCCAGAGTGCTGAAATACAGTATACCCCAGGTCTGCAGGCAATCATTCAATCCTTGTGCTGGTCAATGTCTCTTCAGCAGGAGCCGATCTGTGTCAGCATCCTTTTCATCCTGCTCGGCCGCTATATCCTACTCGCTGCTTATCTGAGCGTCCTCCTTCGTGGAGGATTCCGACCATGCACCAGACCAGTCCGAAGCACGCTTTCGCGCGTGCTGGCATGCGCGGCAGCGGGCATCGCGCCAGTCTGGTACACGGCCGGGGCCGTCCAGCGTCAGCTTTTCCAGTCTGCTCTTTGCGCCTCGGGTGCTGCCAAAGATGTCCCTGGCCTTGGGTCGGGCCTGTCCCTCTGCAGGAGGAAAATTCAAGAATAGTAAAACATAGTATGTGGACGAGTTGTTTTGATTATGTTTTGAATATGCTTTTGATATTTCATTTTTTTCCTCCGAAATCCGCCTGTGGGAGGACATGCCCGACCTAACCCTTCCAGGGAGGCCCAGGTGGCCGAGAGGGCGGCCCAGGATGGGGATCGATGGGTTCCAGAGCGTCGCGGGACGCTCCCGGCGCGTTCCCGAGCGCTTCGGGACGGCCGCGACGCCCGATGCGGCCTCCAGGCCCAGCAGCTCCGAGGCATCCCTGACTATCAAACCTCGGCGGGAGCTGTCGTCCTCCTGCCGTCGTCTTGCCCGCGGGCCCCAGAGCCCGGAGGCTGCACCCGAGGGGCCGCCGCACCCGAGGCCCCCCCCCAGAGGCCCCCAGCTCGACCTGCGGCGCCCCGGCAGCCGCCGAGATCACTCGAGCAGGGGATCGACTACAGATCGGGGCCCTGAAGAAGGAACCCTCTTGGTTGGGGAGGGGCTCCGCGTTCCTTTAAGTGTTTCGCAGCTTGCCTCAGGTTTCCCTGATGTTTTCGGTCGGAGATCGAAGTTTGACTTATGGAAAAAAGGGGCCTCGTTCCTTATTTAGGGTTCCTTTGGTCAACGCCCCGACTGTACAGAACGGATGTGTTCCAGGATGGATTTCCCGTCGAGCCTGGGACACATACGCGGGATGCTCCGCAGATCTTCGGGGCATTCGTTGCGTATCTAGCAGATTCGAACATCGGGGGTGGACAGACCTCCTAACAGTGACACGTCGATTAGTGAATTGTCCGTTTTCGGTTCTCGAGAGGGCGCCGCGGTCGTTATTTTCCAGGCTTGCGCCCGCCAGGTTTGGGCCCGAAGTCGTTTTCACTAAACCACGTTTTACTAAAGGGAGGTCTGTCCATCCCCGAACAGAACGGCTGTGCTCCAGGATGGATTTCCCGTCGAGCCTGGGACACATACGTGGGATGCTCCGTAGATCTACGGGGCACTCGTTGTGTACCTAGCAGGTTCGAGCAGAAAACCGAGTTTGCGGAGGATCGATTCCGCAGTCGATCCCCTACTCGAATCGTTTTTCTTGACTTGGCATCGCTCGGACGTGTGCATTTTTTCTCGGCGAGGGCCACCGAGGAGCATGCTTGATCATGCGGCGAAAAAACCACGCACGAAACCTACAAAAAGCACGGGGAATGGACGTCCGGGCGATGGCCAGTTGACCCTCCCGTCGTTCCCGAGGAGTGGCGCGCAGAGCCGCGGCGCGCTCTTTCGGCCCGGGTCCACCCTCGCAGCGCAGGCGATTCCCCCCCCCCTTCCAATCCCCGAGCTCCGCCCGAAGAGTTCGGCCGCTCCGGTGGAGGGAAGAAGCCCTGAGATACCCCCCAAATGGGGGCTACTCGGACACACCCAGAATATCGAGGACGGACGCCCCCCATGGTATATCCCAGGGTTGGGCCCCAGGTTCCTGGCCCATGCGAGAGCCCACTGAGCCTGGGATAGGGTTGGGCACGTCCCCTGTTACAGTCGGCCCGCACAGTTAGGATGAGCAACTTTCGAAGGTTGTCCTTGCATCCTTCCCCTCGGCACATATTTGGTAACTTTCTCTGGCCAGCCACACTCGGGAAACTTGAACATGGCTTTTCAAAGCCCGAACCTGATCAAGAACATTATAATCTAAGGAATGTGGGCCAGCTTCTTGGAGTTTTCTAAACACAAACCTGGGACAAGAAACTGCGCCAGCTTTCCCGCAAGTTGACTCAGAAATGCGGGCCCGGCTTTCCGGGAGGAGGTGTCTTAATCAGATGCTCGCCGCGCGCCCTTCTTTCTGCGATGTCCGGAACCTCGCCCGAATTTCGGGCTCAGATTCATGATTTCTCGATCAGATCCTCGGCAGCATCGCGCGCCCTTCTCATGCCTTGGCCTCGCTCGGGCGGGTGCATGCCTCGTCGGCGAGGACCCTAGTTTTCTCGATCAGAGCCTCGGTAGCATCGCGCGCCCTTCTTGTGCCTTGGCCTCGCTCGGGCGCATGCATGGGCGAGGACCCTCGAGAAGAGGAGGAGGAGGAGGAGGAGGAGGAGGCGGAGGAGGAGGAGGAGGAGGGGGAGGAGGAGGGTGGAAGGGGGAGGGTGGAAGGAGGAGGAGGAGGAGGCTGAGGTGGAGGAGGAGGAGGATGACAGGACAAGACATCCACATGCGCCCGCGAAGGTGCAGTGTAGAGCGTATGCGTAATTCCCTTGCGTGAGTGTAATGCAGCAGAGACTCGACAGCCCTTCGACACCTTATCGAGGGAACTGCCAACGCCTGCGCAGAGGCGTGCACGCTGCCCTCCTCCCCCCAAGCCCTCACCTCCCCCCCCCCTCCTCCACCACAGGCGAGCGTGCGGCCCTTTCGCAGGGAGCCCTCTATTACCAGCCTGTGGCCCTCCGATGAAACCAAGGGGCTCGGCACCGCTGGCACCGTGTTGCCAGTGGCGCGTGCGAGTGGGCAGGAGGAGCGAAGGCTGCGCGCACGAAGCCGAAAAACGCACAGGATGTGCACCTCCGAGCGATGGCGGGTGGACTGCGCGCCCCGTGGCGAGACCTCCTCCGATAGCGCGGGCGCCCCGCGCCTCCCCCCCCCGCAGGACGGCAACACCCAGGTCACCGGCACCTCGGAGGCGCGCGGGCGCCCTTCGGCCTCCGGACGCTCCCCGGCCGGGCTTGTCCCAATTGAGATCCTGGCGTTGCAGTCTTGTCACAACGGAGGTTTTTCGCTCGATGTCGTGGCCCCCAGACCCTCACAAGTCGATCCGGCTCGAAAAATGGCGCAGACAGATGCGGTCCGGAGCTCTGGGCGTGATGTTTTGCGATGCTGCATTTTGGGTGCAACGTCGGAGCTCAGGGGGCCCCCCGTTGCTCGGGCGCGTCGGACCCGTGGTGGGCCCTGGAAACGCCAGGGCCGTTTCTGTGACCCGGTCCGTTTTGCCGTTTCTGTTGCCGGTCCGGTTCCGGCTCCGGTTCCAATCCCCCGTTTTATTTCAGGTCGCCGTTTTTTTGTTAACCGCTTCCATTTTCTGGACGCTCTCCGGCCGGGTGCCCCCCCCCGAAAACCAGACATTTGGCGTCTCGAAAAAAACACGGGACGTTTCCCACTTGGCGGCCTTTCAGAAGGGGGGGGGGGCCCTTGCCGGGCCTCGGAGCCAGCAAGAAACGACTCGCAATGAAGAACGGGTCCCGGGGCAGTGGTCGAGAGGTCGTGGGCCCGCGTCTCGAAAACATCGAGACGCCGGGTGCCTGGGGATATAGGGGCTGTCCCAAGGTTGGGTCGGGGAGCGAGCCCAGCTGCAGATGCTCAAGGCTGATTCTTCTCCAGGGGCCGGTTCGAGCGGTGCTTCTCTGACCCCACCGGTGTGCCACTATACGCCAGGTTTTGCTTCCCCCCGACTTGCCGGCTGCGACAGACGGCCCGGATTTTAGTAGGCCGGCCCTGCCAAATCAAGGGTACCTTTGTGTCCTGTGTCTCGCGACCCTCAGGAGGGGGAAAAACACACAGACACAATGAATCGACGACTCCCAGGAAAACATGGGAAAAGATGGGAAGTGGGGGGGAAGACAAAAACCAAGAAAATATAGGAAAATATAGGGAATCCTTTTATTTGTGTGTATTTATGTGTGTGTGTGTGTCCTTGGGCCCCTTCAGACCCGTGCCTCCTGCATTCCCATGGCAATGTGACCCTCAGAAGGGTCTTGTGTCCTCTCGCGAGTCCTGTCCGATGAAGTCCGACTGTAGGCAGCCGCCGTTCCTTCCGCTTGGCCTCAGGTGGATCGTAAGACAGCCCTCGCGCCCAGCCAAGGGCCCTGTTCAGCGTCGCGGGGCGCCTTCGCAGTGGGCAGGTGACCCGCCTGGCTGCTGGGCCTCGGCCTCCCTCCGGTCCTCCCCGCCCTCCCCCGAGAGCCGAGGCTGTGACAAAAAAGCCAACAGACAGACAGACAGAGGCACGGTCAAACCACCTGGGTTGGCCCGCGAACGGGCGAGGCTACAGCGCAGTGGCCTGAACAAGCACACGCGCAGCGGTGAGGGCAAACGTTGTGCCTCCGAGGGGAAGGGGGGGGAGGGAGGAGAGGAGCGGGGGCGGCGGTCCTCACGCGTGAATGCAATACTCGGCGAATGCGTCTTCATCACGTTCATGTACAAGTTCATACCAGCGAGATACAGTTTGCAAAGTCGCAAACAATTCCGCCTGGAGCCCCCGGACCCCATCTTTGTGCGTCATTTGTCGGGCCGCATCGACATGGGAGGGGCCCGTGGCCCGAAATCGGGCGAGCGAACACGCCCGCTGGGAAAGAACAGTTGCAGCGCCAGGATCTCGGGGCCCCTTCCCTTCCTGGTGCGTCCAGGAGAGGCGTGATGCTTATGACGTCCTGGCTGGGGCCACGATACCTCCCGGGGTTCCATGGACCACCTTCTCCTTGAAGGCATCCCCCCCCGCCCTGCCTCGGGCCAGGCTGTGCGGGCCCCTCGTGCCCCCCCCCCCCCCTCCTCTTGCTGTGCGCCTCCCGGCCCCCGCCTCGGCCGCGCACGGTGCCTCGGGCCACGACCTGCGAGGCCCCCGTCCTCTTGGACGCCCCCCCCGTCCTGGGACGCCCCCCCCTCCCTCGCCCCGTCCTGGGACGCCCCCCGTCCTGGGACGCCCCCCGTCCTGGGACGCCCCCCGTCCTGGGACGCCCCCCGTCCTGGGACGCGTCCCGTCCTGGGACGCCCCCCCGTCCTGGGACGCCCCCCTCCCTCGGCCCCTGCGGCGGGGTGCGTTCGTTGGGGAACGTGCACAGGAGGCTCGAGACCCCTTGGCGTCGCTCGGACATGTGCATTTTCCTGCGGCGAGGACCATCGAGGAACATCCTTGATCATTTGGCGAAAAACCCACGCACGAATCCGAAAAAAACACAGGGAATGGACGTCCGAGCGATGGCCAGACCCTGGAGGATGCCTCCTCCGACGAGGGCGGCGGTGGTGTCCGTGGCCAGTCCACGGCGGGAGTTCCACCAGCGTCGGGCGTTGCTGCAGGTGCCCCATGGCCCAAGGTGCATCCGGCTCTTCGCGCCGTTGTGCCTTTCGCGCCGTTCCACGAGGGGTTCTCTGGAGGCCGTGGGGGCTGCCTTGGGCCAGGGGCACTTCCAGCAACATCCGACAGGTCGTTTGTATCACAAGGTAACTGTATTGGAGCAGCGGTCATGGTCAACACGGTGTCACACAGCCCCGGTGGGTCACGGGACCAACACGGGACTCCAAAATGGAGCAAAAGTTTGGGGCATTTTCCGCCCAGACATCAGGCCGCTCCAACTTGTTCGATGCGTGGGGTCCGGAGTTGTGGACCACTTCCAGGGCTGGTGTTTCTGCTTCAGTTGTTCCCAACCATCCTGTGGTGTTGGGTCCTCGTTTTGAAGAGACGGTCCCCGCGTTCTCCTTCTCTCCTCCTCTTCCCCCTCCTCCTCCACCGTCCGCATGCGTCCCGCACACCCAGTACAGCGTTCCGTGGCCCTCCTCCCCCTCCTCCCCCTCATCCTGCGTTTCACCCACCCAGTACGGCGCTTCGTGGCCCCATAGGGAGCCCCTCCGAATGTCCCAGCGCTACCGTCCGCATGCGTCCCGCACACGCAGTACAACGTTTCGCGGCCCCTTAGGGAGCTCCACCGAAGGTCCCAGCGCTACCGTCCGCATGCGTCCCGCACACCCAGTACAGCGTTTCGTGGTCCTCCTCCCCCTCCTCCCTGCGTTTCACCCACCCAGTACAGCGTTTCGTGTTCCCATAGGGAGCACCTCCGAAGGTCCCAGTGCTACCGTCCGCATGCGTCCCGCACACCCAGTACAGCGCTTCGTGGCCCCATGGGCGGCTCCACCGACCGAAGGTCCCAGCGCTACCGTCCGCATGCGTCCCGCACACCCAGTACAGCTTTTCGTGGCCCTCCTCCCCCTCCTCCCTGCGTTGCGCCCATCCAGTACAGCTTTTCGTGGCCCCATAGGGAGCCCCACCGAAGGTCCCAGTGCTACCGTCCGCATGCGTCCCGCACGCCCAGTACAGCTCTTCGTGGCCCCACAGGGAGCTCCACCGAAGGTCCCAGTGCTACCGTCCGCATGCGTCCCGCACACCCAGTACAGCGTTTCGTGGCCCTATAGGGAGCTCCACCGAAGGCCCCAGTGCCCCCGTTCGCATGCGTCCCCGAAGCCCAATGTGGCATTTTCACTAACCAGGTGCAGCGTTTCGTTTCGTGGCCCCATACGGGGCTCCACCGAAGCCCCCAGTAGGACCGTCCGCATGCGTCCCGGAAACCCAATTTGGCATTTTCACTCACTCAGTAGAGCGCTTCGTGGCCCCATAGGGAGCTCCACCGAAGCCCTCAGTGGGACCGTCCGCATGCGTCCCGGAAACCCAATTCGGCACACCACCCACACAGTACAGCGTTCCCCCCCGCCCAGTGCAGCGCTTCGTGGCCCCATAGGGAGCTTCACCGAAGCAGATATTCACAACTACGGTACCCACAACTGCATATGGTTGGGACCTTCGCCAGGATGATTTTTGACGGTCCCGAGGCCCGGCGACGGCTTCTGGAGGCTAGCAACGGTCAATTACCAGCCGCTCCAAATTTTGAGAGCGTCGGATCGCTTGACATCGCTCGGACGTGTGCCTCTTTTCTCGGCGAGGGCCCTCGAGGAGCAGATGGGATCACCTGACGAAGAATAAGCGCACGAGATCGTACAAGTCACAGGGAACGCAGACATCGTGTGTCCCGATGTTTGTCGACACACGGGCTCCCGACCTCTCGACCGTTTCCCCAGGACCAGTTTTTCATCGCGAGTCGCTGTCTGACGGTCCCGAGACCCGGAAAAGGGCCCCGAGGGGCCGAAAACGATGACGACCTCGGACGCGTGGATTTTTTCTCGGCGAGGGCCCTCGATGAGCAGAATTGGATCATCTGATCAAACAGCGAAGTCGGGGTTCACGAAATGGAGGTCAATGCAAACGGGGGTCGGTCAGAGCGCCGGATCCTGCAGGGTCCTGCAGGGCCAGGGGCGCATAAGAAGCCCGCGCGGACCATCGAGAGCTCGTGTGTGTGTGTGTGTGTGTGGGTGTGGGTGTGGGTGTGTGTGTGGGTGTGCGTGTGGTGTGCGTGTGTGTGCGTGTGCGTGTGCGTGTGCGTGTGCGTGTGCGTGTGCGTGTGCGTGTGCGTGTGCGTGTGCGAGTGCGTGTGCGTGTGCGTGTGCGTGTGCGTGTGCGTGTG